CTATATTTTAATAGTTTTTCTATATATTTTATAAGCTTAGATTCTTATAGTAGAGTAAGTAGTTAGTATTTTTTTATAGCTACCTCCCACGACTATATTTTATTTTAGTGCTAGCACGTTAATATTAAAACCTTAATACTAAACTTTTTTATAGCTACGTAGTATAAAAGTTAACCTTCTATATCTTATAAATTAATTGCCGTAATCGCTTTCTTAATAGCTATTATAGTGGTGGAGATATTACGTATTGAAAATAGTGGGTGGATATTTTAATTGGGCAGATAGTGTTGCATTGGCTGAACTGTTGCACGCACTGACCACACGCAGTACAGCAATACTTGGTACTTTGTCGACACGAGGGGAACGTGAAGCGACCTCTCACGTCACTATGGGATGATTGGATAGCGCGCGCGCGCTACGAGACGGCATGAATATGCGTGTGGGCGGGATGGAGAATCCTACGGCGCGAACCGACATGACGCGCTGTCGTCACAGAGATGATAGGGAGGCCTCGGAGCCAGCATGAAAAAGCCAAGATCACAGTATTGTTTCACCGCTTCCTACGAATATAATTGAGACAATGTGTTTTTTTGTTTCTTCCAAAGGTACAAATACCATGGATTGCGAGTCGGTGTGACTACAAGCTCTCTTGTCCCCTTTTTTCCCCCGCCGTGTGTTCCGGGTCCCACCTCACTTCTCCCTTGGTGTAAGCTTTGCGTGCGGCGGAATCTTAGGGACTTGGGCTAGTCTTCTGTTAAAGTCGTCGTCGGGTACTTTGGACAGACGGTTGCCGTTCTTGTCAACAAGCTGAAAGTCGAATGAGGCGACAAAGTACGCCACGACCATGGTTATTAATAGAGTGGCGGAGCGTATACCGACTGCGAAATAGATTAATTCAGGAGACCAATACATGTGGAGTCGGTGTACTTGCGGCATGGATGTAAACCGGATCCCCAGCCCACGTAGCCATGTAGCCTCTTTGTGTCCTCGGCACGGTCGGGCATATACCTTGATGGATCCCATTCATAGGGGTTAGTATAGACTTCAGGATTGAGGTGGATGTCGTACGAAGGATATGCGACAACGGCGCCGCCAGGGATGACCTCCTTGCCGTTACCAAGCGGAATGTCGTCACTGGTCATGTTCTTCCGGAAGAAGAGAGGAAGTATATGCAGGCGAATCGTGTCACGCAAGCACGCATTAATGAGAGGAAACTCTGATTCCCACGCCTCTATCGGAATGTCATCGAGCTGTTTGCGTAGTGACGCATTGGTGTCTCGAGCGTACTTGGCCACTGCCTTGCGTACTTCTTGCCGTACTTTGTCCTGCCACTCTGGAGCAGCTGCCAAGTAGGAAATGAGCCATCCAACATTGATGGTAGGGTTGGCTAGGCCTGCGAAGAATGCGCCGAAGACGAAGACGGTTGTTCTGAAGATGCTGTGGCCTTGGTCAAGTATTACCTGAATCGCGTCGTAGGGCTTCTTGTCGCTCGTAGCACGCTTCTTGATCATGCTCTGGAGCATGAAGAATAGGCGTGCACTAGTGTAGAATTTTTTCAAGGCACCAAGCGATGGAAGCTTGGGAAACATGATGACCATGGGACTCGCGTGACCGACTATGCTCTCGAACACGCTCTGCGTCTGTCCAAGCTTTTTTGGATCGCTGAGGAGCTCATTTGGGCCAAACGTGCTCATAGTCAACTTGTAGACGACGCACGCCATGCTGTCAAAGACGTTGATTATGCCGCTGGGCTCTTTTTGAATGGTGTCAATGGACTCATTAATATTGGACTTGAGGTCAGGCAGCTTGGTTTGGAGATATTGTCCTTTCAATAGTTGCGTGAGGCGAGAGTTAAACCACTTGTCTATGCCTTCATCCGATTCCTGGCCATTGTGTAACTTCTCTATGCTGGCGGGTCCGCCCTGGACGTCGGCGTAGCCCTCGCCCACGCGTAGCTGTCTCGATTCGAAAAACATTTTTCGTGCCGTGTCGCCCGATAATCCGATGACCATGTTGGGCCCTGCATGGAAGGAAAAGTTGCCTGTCTCTGATTGAGATATACATTCCTTATACCAGTCCCACCTTCGCTTCCAAAAACCCCATGGACCAATTACTGGGTAGTTGTCACGAACCTCGGGTGGTGCATCATTTGGGATCTGGCGGGTGAGAAGCCTGTGTGCGATTATAGAGAAGATGATGATGGCGGTGATGGCGATGATGGCGACGTAGACAAAGATGACCGCAGTACACAAGAGGGTGAGTGGGGAGGAGGACATTCCATATAAAATAGAGTCCAAAACGGCCATTAGAGTTACTGTGAGGCCGACGGTTTTCTCGTATAGCAATAAGAAATTCAACGCTCAAAGGCTGTCAACCAGTGCGCCACTGGTTGCCGTGTTAGCTTTATAAACATCAATAGCAGGAGAGCGACCCCTTCAGGACGTTTTGCCGGTATGATTGCTTCTAGATCGTCGTTTTCCTGTCTGCCTGCATTGTGTGACCAATCGCACCAGCCAAACCTAAGAAGTATATGACCTTTGCTTTAACGGTGCATAGGCCATATCCGTCACCTCCCGGTCCAACCACTTCCCCGGATCTTCGATTGCTGACTACATTGCAAAACCTTATTCCGTCAGTTTCCCTCGCTTACAGACCTTCTCTCTGCTGGCTTGTGAATTTTGGCTATTTCAGAGTTGGATACCAAGTAGGATCGGTACATGCCGCAGATGGTTAGTTTAAGGATCCACGGAAGACGACAGAGCTAATCGAAGAGGTTTGTTCACAGTGATCATATTGTGCTGCATCGTTTCCTGACATCCCAGGTAATTATACTTTCTGCGTGTCCGGAGTGACGACATAGACTTACTTATTGCGGAATCGGACCGCGTTCAACAGCTTATTTCCACCACCTTCCGTTTCAACCACACCCCGGCTCGTTCGCCAAAGGCAAATCGCGGGGAAACTTTGTGTATATTTGTGTACGTAAGAGGTGTTGAGCTGATCTCACTGGTTTCCTTGGAAGAAAATATGATGTGATCGCTCACAATAGAAGTATATGTGATGTAGTATACCACCGACAAGGATCCTAAAATGCGTTCTATGCCCGGTTGTCTATGCACCGTCCGATCATCTCATTTAATCTAATCTTACCCAATACCGACCGACTGGATCAGATACACGTAGATTCAGGGATCCTAAATAGCGGCCAGCGGAGTTGTCTAGTTTCGGGAAGTGACTGGGCAGGGTGGTGGTTATTCGTTTTGGTGTTGTTGGTAATGTGATAACAGAGCCGATTTTTAGGCGCGTCTTGGTGTCTTGGGATGCTCAAAGACAAACTTCCTGCACTCCTTGAACAGTCGCATATCCTGAAAGAGATTTTTTTTTTCAAGCTTAATATGCAGCAGAGTTTGCTCTGTTCCGATGATCTCTGGCGCCATTACTTCATTACGTGGCCTTTCTGTTCCGAAACTCCCTTGAGGTTGCCTTTGAAAATCCTAAACCCAATCCCCCCTCACGCACAGTCTACCTTTACCATCATCTTCCAAATCAACTGCTTGGGGCCTGTTCGGTTCTCTGCTTTCTGTTTCCATTTTGTTCCCATTTTGAGTTTGGAACTTTAACAGGGGAGAGCTCGCTAGTCGCACATCTCGCGCGATCACGTGGCTCCGTTTTCCAGCTAGAGGTCCAGAGGTGCAGGTAGAAGACAGGTCTCCCTGTCGCATAAAAGAGAAAATGGGTGTAGCGAATCGGTACAAGATAGAGCTCATTTCAGTGTAAAAGCCTCAACAATTTCTAGCGCTTTTTTGTAGCCGCCGACGATACGTATGCGTTTTCCGAACTCGACGCCGTTTCCGTCTCCGTTTTCCAGACAGAGGTCAAACTACTCCCAGGTTGAGTCTAGCAAATGTAAAAAGGAGCTGGACCAAACAGGCTCTTGACACTTCGCCTGCCGTTAAGAAGATATCAGACTCCCTTGGATCGAGGCTTGGTTTTTCCGTCTTCATGACAAGTCTGTTGGTTTTCTATTTCTTTGGTGGCATTTTCTCTTTCTTTTACGAAGGAGAAAATAAACTCCAGCACAAGCCTTTTCCCGGCGGATAAGCAATTAACAGAGTCACCGCTGGCAGACTTCGGCAATGATATTACGATTTTTTCCACATGCGGGCCCATGTCACGTGGCTGCAGCTTGGCATTGTCGGCCCATCACTCCGGGGAAAACAACGAAGCAATCACAATGAATCCTCCGCACTTTATCTCCTAGCTCGGCCTGGAGACGAGCGAATGCCACGGCCTTGACGCAAAAGGGCAGAGTATGCGGCTCAACAACCATCGGGGATCCACTTTCTCGTAACGCAGTTCCGAGCAGCGAACAGCGTCTTTTTGCGCAAGCGAGGCATCGGATAGTAAGTACGGCTTGCACCATCGGCATCTGACTGGCAGAAGCCGACCTCCGACCGCCTCCAAGGTAATGGAGAAAGCTCCCCCACCGAGAAAGGCGTGCAAGCCACATGCGCAAAGGCCAACCTCATGCCTTGTCGATCTGCACACATTGTTGCCAGTCTGAGCGCTGGCCATAGTGCTGGATCAACGTGCGACCGGACCTGCCATCCAATGGGGCATTGGGCCTAATGCGGGGGGAAGACGATTTGTGCAGGCAAAATGCAACTGTCGCTGCCAGGCTCCACTCGAGACGTGCACTCAACCGCCATGACACCATCAGGCACATTTGGCCTTACTCCACTAGGCCGCGGTGCAGACTCTTCGCCCATGCGACGGTATTTGGTCGGATTGACGTACAGTGGGGTAGGGTGGTACATATCCTGTATGGAGGCCCACAGCGGAGCGGAGAGCGCATTGGGGTCGTATTTTTCCCCAGCTGCAGCTATAAGTAATAACGAGGGGACCCCAGATGTTCGTCTGGTGTTTTATTGATTTACTCCTCGTGCAACGATAGGGAGCTCTGGCAACATGGCGACAGCGTACGATGGAGAGAAGATATCCGCGCAGGATGCTGCCCAAATCTCGGAGCACCACTCAAAACCCAGCGCCGTTGCCACCATGGACCCCGAAAGGAGGAGGCAGGTCGAGAAGTCGCTGAAGCGCAAGTTGGACTCACGATGCTCGCTTTTCGTGCTGATCTACATTATGAACTGTAGGGGATTTGCCAGATATGGAATTGTATGCTCGATGTTTGATGCTGACCATTACTGCCAGATCTCGACCGAAACAACATTGCTGCAGCGCGTCTGGGCGGTTTGGAAGAAGACCTTGGTCTCTCTCCGACACAATACTCGACCTGTTTGAGTATTCTCTATGTCGGCTACATTTTGATGCAAGTCCCATCGAACATGATTATCAACGTGATACCCCGACCATCGCTTTACATTTCAATGGTCATGTTGGTATGAAATCTCTTTGTCCGTACCACAACGTAAAGTCACCTCGCTAATATTACTTTCTTTTTTCTTAGCTCTGGGGAATGATTAGTACACTGAGTGGCAACGTTAATAATTTCAGCGGCATGGTCGCGATTCGCTTCTTCATTGGATTCGTCGAGGCAGCTTTCTTGTAATAATTTCCCTTTTTACCGCATTTCCACGCAGATTGAGGGAAATTAACATTTCAAATTCTAGGCCGGGAGCACTGCTCATCCTCTCCAAATGGTACACCAGACGCGAACTCGCGCTTCGGAATGCCATTCTTTTCTGCGGAAACCTGATCTCAAACGCTTTTTCGTCTCTTGTAGGCGCGGCTGTTTTGGGCAACATGGAGGGAACTCTGGGCCATGAAGTGAGTGCAATAATCCGTCAAAGTATCATTTTTGCAATGAATACTGATATATGAACAGGCTTGGAGATGGCTCTACTGGTAGGCACTAGAAACATCAAGTAAAAATCATATGCAACTAACACAAAATTAAGGATCGAAGGAGCAGCAACAATGGCCATTGCCATCTCCGCAGCATTCATCCTCCCCGATCTCCCCCACAACACGCGCGGCTTCACCGAAGAAGAACGCGCCGTCGCCGTTCTCCGAATGACCGAAGACGTCGGCGAGGCCGACAAAGACTCGGAGGAACAATCCCCCTTCGCAGGCCTCTTCATGGCCGTCAAAGACGTCAAAATCTACATTCTAATGATCACATTCACCGCCTACGTCACCGGCCTCTCCTTCAACGCCTACTTCCCCAGCTTGACCAAGACCCTCGGCTTCGGCTACATCACCACGCTGCTCATGAGCGCCCCACCGTGGGCCTTCGCCTGCGTCGTCAGTCTGATCAACGCATGGCATTCGGATCGCCAGCAAGAGCGCTGCTGGCACATTGTCGGACCCATCTGCGTTGGCATCGTGGGGTTCGTGATTTCAATGGCTACATCCAACACCGCGGCGCGATATGTAGCACTGTTCCTACAGGCGTCGTCATATGCGGGATTCATTGTTTTTTACTCGTGGATCTCGTCGTCGTTTCCCCGCCCACCGGCGAAGCGCGCGGTCGCTATTGCTATGATCAATGCTTTTAGTCAACGTGAGTATCCGACTGACATATGCGTCGTTCGACAAGAGCACAGTGCTAATAATCCTCGTCTTCTAGTGGGTAATATTGCCGGATCCTATGTCTGGAACATGTCGGCGAATGGATACAGGAACAGCTACGGTGTTGTTACGGCCATGTTTGGCGCTACGATTATTGGATGTCTAATCTTTAGATTTATCCTCATTCGTTTGAACAAGCGATTGGACGAGGGGGCAGATGCGTGGGTTGTGCATGGCGATGTTGCCGAGCAGACTGCGGCTACCGAGGGTGTGAGCGTGGAAGAAGGCAAGAAGATGATGGGCGGGTTTAGGTACTTGGTGTGAGAAATGCTGGAAGTGGATGTATTGAAGCTCAGAGCTCAATATACTCTCAATCGAGATTATCAGTGCTTTTTTTACTCAAGTTTGCTTGACAAAAGATTAGTGGTAGCGAAACACCTGCGATTATCAACAAACCCAATCATAGCTTTTTGTTAGACGGTGTTGTTGAAAGTTTCTTCATTTTTTTTTGAACAAGGGGGGAGGGGGGGGAGGGGGCATGGATCTAGTCATTGACGTCACCTGTAAGAGTACAACTTTACATGCCCTCTTCTTGATTGAGCTTGATGCCCCTCTCAATCAACCCCTCAATCCATGAGTTGAATTCCTCCCTCATCTCAATTGGCACCACATGGCCTTGTCCCCTGATGAAGTGTTTTTCGATCTCACCTTGCTGCCAGACATCGTCTTCTTCCTCAATGCCCAGCCAGTTTTCCTTGCCCGTTACCCCCTCGCCTTTCTCGAGACCCCTCCACAAAACTACGCCCAGGGGAAAAGTCAGCATTTGATCCTTTGTGCCATGGACAACCATGATTCTCTTTTTCCCAATCGTCTGGGCAAGCTGCTGTAGTTGCTGAGGGCTTTTATAATGCCAACCAGCTGCAATGGCCTGTAGGATGAAGTGTGCTTTGGAAAAGTACTCTGGGTGCTCGCGTTTCCACATTTCATTTGCAGCAAAGCGGTCCCCATTAGTTGGGAAGGCCTGGACGACAGGTTCCAGGGCATCCGGCGCGTCTAGCCATTCTTGAGTGTACAGATTTTTCTTGACGCCCTCAATCTGGGTATCAAGAGATTTGGGTATGAAAAGATTGGCACGGTTCCAGAGGTTTTCTAAGAAGCCCTGTATGGGTCAGCTCGTGTGTGGGTTGGCCAGGTGGCAGTAATTGCAGGACTTACTGTGGTCCTGAAGAGATGTGCAGCTGTCGATACAAGCGACAAGGTGCATATGCGCTCTGGTATCAACATTGCCTATGTCATGGTCAGCACTAAGCCATCTCACAGCCTCTTTGCTTATCAAGGAATATTTTTCGCTCAAGTCTTGTCGACCAACGCGTAATGGCATCACGGCAATGCAGGCGTTGCCTGACGAAGGTGTACGGGAAGAGCCGTGTACAAAAGAGGAGCGGAGGGCGTATGAACCGCTGAGATTACAGGGCGAGGCATGGTGTCAGAGAGGATGATGTCGTTTTTTGAAGCGCTTGGCGTCTGTAGCTGGGGTGTATGTGTGTCGGTTGACGGAACGCCGCGTATCCGGTGTCTGATGGTTGGAGACGGTCGTTGTACGCCTGACGATGCAAAATCAAAAATAAAAACACACGACTCACGATCTCTTGGGCGATCATTCCGCCCATGCTGATTCCGATAACGTGCAGATCGCGTTTGGCGGTCCAACCAACGTGGTCAATGACTTCAATCAGATCCTTTGCCATTTCAGACGTCGAGTATCTCGACGTGGGCTTATCCGAATCGCCGATACCACGGTTGTCGGTCACCAGGCACGAGTACTGATGACCCTTTGTATGGCCAAAGTCCTTGGTCTGGCGTTGCCAGGCATACTTCATGCCTCCCAAGCCCATGACCCACTACATGATGTTAAATCTCTGGAGGCTGTGTCGGAGAGTAAAATAGACAAAAAAAAGACATGTCGGCATGTTCAGCGACCTGAGACGCCGGGGACATGTTGAGACGACAAATGCAACCGAAACGAAACGGTGACAGGAGAGAGGTGATGATAGCTGCATGCCTGAGGTGGCACCCATGTCGAAGGGGACAGAGTAAGACCGAGAGGTGGGACCACTTACTACCAGGTGTCGAGGGCCATTGCCGTGAAGCTCGTAGGCGATATTAAAGGGCCCGCCTCGATCTTTGGCAACGGGTACCTTTGCTTGGCTTTGGGGTGTCAGTTGCCAGACGATGTGGGGGTATTCTGGATGCTGGGGTAGCTCTTGGGCAGTCATTGGTGCCATGGCTGGGCGTACAAGTAAGCTGGCTGGCGCGTGTTATGGCCGTAAGGAAGCAGTGTGTATGTATGTAGGTGAGAGTGTGAGCATGGTAGGTAGGGTAGTATTTAGTGCAACGGTGCATAGTAGTGGCGCAGCGACAAAGGATTTGTGGCGTAGTGGGCGGCAACAGGTTCCGGGGGGCAGTGAGTGCATGGATGGGATGGGATGCTGTTTGTGTACTTACCGCAGCACGCACACGAAGGCAGGACAAGCTTAGTTAGTCGGCGATGTTAGTGTAGCAGTAAGTACACCAAGGTAGCTGGGGCGTAGATGTGCAGGGAGACGGAGAGTGGATGGATTGTGTGACCAGGATCCGGACCAGAAGTGGCGGACGTCATTTGTGTTGGCTGGGCCGGGCTGCGACAGTCAGCCTCAGGTGGCAGTGGATGCGATGCGCACCTGCGTTTCATCTTTTGCCAGCAACTGGCGGCCCCTACACATACTACGCACACGCACACGCATGACCCCCCGCCGATCCGCCCTCCTACTCCCTGCATGGCCTCCCCAAAGACGACGACGAGGAAAAAAAAACAACCACTACCACCATTTGTATTTTCTGACGATTGCAACGATCAATTCCTGTCCTTGAACGACTCTCTTGCCGGCGCTGCCGCCTGCAGCCACAACTATATCCACAGTCACAGCCACACTTACTACTTCTACTACGACCATCACTACCATTGCTAATTACCACCACGACCTCGCCGGAGCAGTAACGACAATCTCCACTCCGCCTTCGCCATGGACCCCTCCCACTCCGGCTTCTACGTCGGCGGCACTCCCATGATGAATGCCCAGCCGCCGCCGCCGCGCATCTTTGGCAGCGGCACCTTTGACGCCTCGCAAATGCCCTCCGGCAACATGTTTGCTCACGACGACCTGGACGACCACAATGATGGAAGCGATGCCAAAAGGCGCCGGATCGCACGGGTACGCACCCTCGTCCGCCCACGCAGCCAGACGCACAGCTGGACGCGGCATCCCGTGTTGGTGCTGACTGGTGCTGCAGGCATGCGACATGTGTCGCAAGAAGAAGATCAAGTGTGATGGCAAGATGCCTTCGTGTACACATTGCCAAAACTACAAGACCGAGTGCATATTCACCCAGGTCGAGAAGAAGCGCCAGCCGCCAAAGGGGTGCGTTCCTCCCCTCTCCCTGCTGCTGCTGCTACTGCATTGCCCCCCCCTTGTGCGACACGACAGCTAGCTCACTGCGCCTAGTGCCAAGTACATCGAGGGTCTCGAGAACCGCCTCGCGCGCATGGAGTCGCTCATGCGCCTCTCTGGCGTCCTCCCCGAAGACGACGACGGCAGCACAGACCTGGCCACCCTCGAGAAGCGTCTCGAGGCACGCGCCGGACGGTCGGCTACTCCCAGAACAAGCAGTATCCATGAGCGGAGACCCTCTGTAGCACCCCACTCCGCCCTATCGACGGCCGACGATGCAGCCACACACGCAGCCCTACCTAGCCCTACCAGTGGAACTACTTCTCCCAGCCCCGAAGACCAGTCTACAGAGGCAAAGGACAAGGATGAGGATGCCCTGGCCGAGATGATGTGCTCCTTGGTCACAAACAACTGCGGTGAGACAAGATACATTGGTACGTCTTGGCTCACAACCCTGCCTACATGCCTGCTCTTTACTAATCACTGACCCGCCCAGGTTCCTCATCCGGCTTCTCCATCTTCTCGCCCAAGGGCATCCAATGGGTCAACGACAAGACAGGCGACAACTCGTTCCGTGATATGATCTCCACAGCTGCCGTCGAGGACAACAAGTGGATACAATGGCGGCCAGACGTCTTCCAGGACATCTTCAAACGGCGCGTCTACAAGCAGTTACCACCCAAGCACGAAGCCATGTCCCTGCTCAAGGATTACTTTGAAAATTTCAATTGCATGTTCCCTCTATTTCACGAACCCACCTTTATGCATCTAGTCGACAAACACTACTCCAAAGACCCCTACGAAGGCTCCGGCTGGTGGGCAAGTTTGAATGTAGCATTGGCTTTCGCTCATCGACTACGCGTCATGAGCAATCTCGTACCTGCAGAAGAGGACGAAAAGGCTTGGCAGTATCTTAAGAACGCAATGAGCGTCATGGTCGAGCTCACCATGCGCAACACTGACTTGCTTAGCGTACAAGCTTTGTTGGGAGTGGTAAGCAACCCAAAGCAACCCAGTCCCTACCACCCATCCGCCTAACACTGTACAGGGTCTCTTTTTGCTCGGAACACCCAATCCCCAACCCACCTATTTCTTCGTCGCGACTGCCATGCGGCTAGCACACAGCATTGGTCTCCATAAGAAGGGCGCCAATTTCAGCCTTAACGCCGCAGAAGTTGAGCAGCGAAGGCGTGTCTTCTGGATTGCCTATATGCTTGATAAAGAGTGAGCCCCAGACTTCATCCATCTATTTCTTTGTATACTCTACTGACCCTGCAAAGTATCTGTCTGCGTTCGGGTAGACCCCCAGTTCAAGATGATGATGACATGAATGTCGAGCTACCAAGCGAGACGCCACCCGACAATATTGGCAACATCCCACTCGCTGATGGCAAGGGCACCATGAACCTATTCCGTCTCATGTGTACCTTTGCCGTTATCCAAAGTAAAGTCTACAAGGGCCTGTACTCAGTCAAGGCTTCCAAGCAAACTGACGGCGAACTTCTCAACACCATTGGCGAGTTGGACAGGGAACTCGAAACCTGGAAAGACGGTATACCCCTCGAGTTCCGCCCAGAACATGACATTAAAGCATCACACACGCCCCTCATCCTCCAGGTTGCCGTGCTACATCTCGGCTACTACAACTGTTTAACTACTATCCACCGTATGAGTGTCCACCACGGATATTGGACCAGCCGACTCTCAAACTTTGCCATTCAGGGTTTAAATGCACGGCCCCTGAACCCCAGGGTCTTCATGTCGGCCCAGCTCTGTGTGCAGGCTGCTCGTGCGTCCATTCACTTGCTCAAGTACATACCAAAGGGTGACTTGTCA